AAAAACATGACTTGCAATGCGATTCAACTAGTAGAGCATATCAGCAACAACAATTAGTGGACGTGCCTTCGCTTGCTGTTACATTTGTTACCATGTAACTTCAGCCAACAGCCAACAATCAGTTGGTAGTTCAGATACTCGTACTTTGCAAACGGGTGTTTTGTTACCGAAATTGGACGTTTCGCTGAAATAGATGCTAACTGCTGGCAGCATTGGCTCAGTTGAGATTCTTGTGTTTCTGACAGTTAACAACACACTATACTTACTCACCTACATAGCGGCAGGTATTTGCATTGATAGTGGCAAAGGATTCCAGTAGCTGCAGAGTGCGATTTGTACCAATGCCACTGGGGAAATTTGCGGTTGCAATGGCTGATATTACAAAGGGTTTGCGTAAAGCAAAAAAGGAGTTGGTTATTGCTGCCTTCTGCGCAGTTGCTTGGCATTGATATGGGTACATTAAAGCAACAGAAAGAAATTTGGTGATGCAAGACAATGAATCCTTGCGTTTCGCGTAAAGATACAGAAAGTTTGATGAGGTGTCTAAATATACAAAAAAAAAATAAAGGCAAATTTATATATACAGATGTACTAGCAGACCCGGTGAAACTTGCCATGATCTAGTATTATTTAAAACGAAATGAAACACTTTGAATATCTCAATGAGAGCGGAGGGAAAGATGTTTAAATGCCATGCAGAGTTCGCATGAAACTCCGAAAGCATTTTGCGGAGATTCCGTCAGTCTAGGCTGAGCATGCTCTGAAATTCCATCAACTTACTTAAGAAAGATTTTTTTTTATGGTGAGAAGTGCAAGTGCAAAAATTTCATAAGGAATTCCATAGAGAAAATTTTTGCACATGCAACAGTGCATAGCATGCATTTAGGCGCTTGGTGCTAACAGTCTTTTTAACCGCAAACAGTTTTTAAATTCTGTTGTATGAAATTTCTTTTATTCGCACTAAATGTAAAGAGGCTGCATAATTTATTCTCAAATTTGAGTCTCGGTGAGAAAAGAAATAGATTGGTATGTACCACTTAGTTGTAGAACATTTCCTTCTTAGTGAATTTTTCCATGACAATTTTCATCAATAACTGTTATCTTCCGTCCCTGTGTCACACATATTCGAGATCAGTTTCATATACGTCCAAAGACTGGCCTTGCGTTTTAATTATCGTCATGTCGTATGCAAGACGAGCTTAGAACTGAGTATGTTTGAACTCAAAGCGCCTCCTCACTTAAGTATCGTTGCTTGGCTAATTGTTTAACCACGTAACTAGTATTTCAATATTTCATATAAATTTTGTTTAATTTATTTAAAGTCGAATTTTCAAACAAAGTGGCAACATTCTTGAAAATATTTTGAAGCCGCAACCTACTCAAACCTCTTTCGTCTGACATCCATACAATTGTGGTATGAGTTGAATTAGTATTTTTGAACAGGTGGAACCCTCCTACATGTGGTTTAGAAATCAAGCCGTTTCAAAAAACGTCTTATATTAGCTTATAAAATAATTTGAATTTAACTTTTCAAACAGGTGGTAACCTTTTCAAACAACTCAAAAATATTCCAAATGTTCAAACTGAAGATTTTTCATACTCTTTGTTTTGACACCCATAGTTTAATAATCATATATTATGTTTATAATTTAATTAAATTTGACTTCTCAAACAGGTGCCAGCCCTCCTAAAAAAATACCTCCAAACAGAAACCTTCTGAAATTTCTTTTGTTTGACATTCACATAATAATACATATTCAATCCCTTCATTCAAGTTAGATTTGATTGTTTAAACAGGTGGCAACTCTTCTACATTTGGTTTAGAAATTAATATTTTTTAACTCTATTTCGATTTATATTCATATTCCCTTAGCTTATTAAATATATTCAATTTGATTTTTTAAACAGGAGGAAACCTGCTTCAAATAACTCAAAAAACTCTTACAGTTTCAATTAAAGATTTTTGACAATTTTTTTGTTACACATTTATATTTCGTATGTTTAACCTGTGTATAATTTAATCAAGTCTGACTTTTCAAACAACTGGTAATACTCTTTCAAAATATATTCAAACTAGAACTTTATTGAACCTCTTTCCATCGGCGTAGCCAGAATGAAATTTGGGTGGGGTCTTGACCCTATTAAGCTGGCATTTCAGGGTACTCATTTTATATATATAAGGAAAATTTGAAAGCTAGGGGGGGGCGGGGCGGCTCCAGCACCCCCTGCCTCTACCTGGCTACGCCCATGCCTCTTTCGTCTGACATCTATTTGACTATTGACTGCTTAAACAGGTGACAACACTATTACATTTAGTGAAGTTGCAACACTATTACATGTAGTGAAGTCTTTTCAAAACTATTTCGATTGATACCCATTTTGTAATAATTCATTTAGATTACAAAATTACTTTAATTAAATTTTTTAAAGAGGTGGCAACCCTCTTCCAACACACCAAAAAATTTTAAATTTCCGGAATTCGTCCCTAAAGTGAACGTGCATAAGAAAAATAAATAAAACAAGTAAGAAAGTCTAAGTTCGGGCGGAACCGAACATTAAATACCCGGCGCAAGTATTAAATACATATATGTTTTTCACCTTTCCGAAAGCTACCGCTACATGGTAAGCCGGGGTGTATCAATTTTGAGTAAATTAGCGTCCTTAAATTTCGAAATATTGAAGTTTCAAGCATTTCTGAAATTTACGGTTATATGAAAAGCGGCCGTAATTTTAGTCCGATTTCAATAATTTTGAACGCTTTGCTTTTACGTGGCAAGCACAACAAAAATACCGCGTTTGGTACAAATTGATAGAACGGTAGTGGGCGGTGCCACGCCCATTTTCCAAAATTTAACCATAAACGTATTTCTTGGTAAAGAATTGTTGC